TATAATCGCCGCTCTATTGAAGCAGAATATTGTTTGGAAAATACCGAATATTCTGTGTTTAAGGTGTGGGTTGAGTGGGTGGCAGTTGGCCTGTCTGGTGGTCATACAGGCATACAGTAGTCGTTTGTATACATTAATGGCATTTCCACCTGAGATTAAGCCCATAAATACTGTCCAAGACTTGGCTGCCGCTGAACAATCGGGTGACATACAGGTGACCACTAATGAGAAGTCCTTATATTATACACAATTAAAGGTATGTTAAGAATATTGTAAAAATTAATTTATAATCATGATAATTTAATTTAGAGCTCAACATTCGGTGTATATAAGGAGATAGGTGACAAAATAAAGCCATTAGAAAATAAATATATTGGGTTTGAGCTAGTTAAAAATAGTACTCGCACTAAGAAAATTGCATTGATCAGCACATATTTTAATTTAGTGTACGGTGTGTTGCAAATGGGCAAGGAGAATTTTCATATACCTCCTCATAATGAGTACTCAACCATTTATTTGGATATTATGGCGATACCGGTGCGGAAGGACTTCCCGTATATGAGAGAGTTTAATGAATTGTATGTATTTTTCATATAATTATATTTAAAATGTTTGATTAGATTTTTATTAATAAGATTAGTTCAGCAAATTATCAATGAATTTAGAAATTAATAAAAATTTGGCATAGACAGACCCCATGGATTTTATTTTTACAAACAATTTTTATAATAAATGTTGAGAAAATTTAATTTTTCATTATTTTAAATTGTTTTAATAAATATATTTTCAGTTGTATACAGGACTAGCAAGCAAATATTGTAAACTTTGACCAATTAATTAATGCTTAATTTTTTAATGAAAATTCTTTGATTATTATCTTATTTTAAATATCTGCATATTTGTTAGAAATAAACCTTGCTATTAATTAATATTACAGAATAGCGCGTATAAATAGTGGTGGTTTGATGGAGTACTGGAAACTATTAGAGTATAGAAAGTTAGACTTCAATATAAATATTGGATTCTCCGGGGACAAATCGTATACTGATGATACACCATTGGATACCTTGCTCATTAGCCAATTTTGCAGTGTTTTAGTTATGTGTTTGTGCCTGATTATCATATCGATAGCCGTGTTTATATTAGAGTACACACATTGCAATCGGAAAATTTGAATTAACTTACATTGTTAGTGTTTCAACTAGATTCAAATATTTTTTAATTTGTTTGAATCTGGGTAGAATGTACAAATGTTTTAATAAATTAAGCATTCTTAATTATTTATACCTTAAAAATTGACATATTATTATTCATTTTCTATTAATAAATTATTATAATAGTGTATTAACTAAATAAATAAATTTTGTTATTGTTACAGTTTTAAACATATATAACTTGATTTTTATTTTAAAATATAAATATCTGGAATTTAAATTATTTAAATTAAATCTCATACGAGGAATTTACCCCCGCTTTATGCACCGATGGGGCTTAAATATGTTGCAAGGTACATGACCCTGATAATAAATATCTAAAGATAATAATTTGTATAATTGTAAGGGATTGACTTTTTCGCCCCGACACGCCCTAATGTTTTTCGCGCCCCGCAAAGAGAGAGAGCTAATTATATATTTAATTATTATTAAATATTAAATTATTATTAATTTTTTACAAAGTATTTAATGTAGTTTAAAGTAAAATCAGTTAATAATTTACTTATTATAATTGTAATCATATAATAAGAGCTCTCTCTCCCAATTTATCCCAATTTTGTGGTTCTGAATGGGAGAGAGAGCTCTTATTATATGATTACAATTATAATTAGTAAATTATTAACTGATTTTACTTTAAACTACATTAAATACTTTGTAAAAAATTAATAATAATTTAATATATAATTAGATCTCTCTCTTTGCGGGGCGCATTTAGTCGTATTTAAAAAATAAAATTAATATTTTTTTATATTGTATAGTTTGAACACAGAGTTTAGCCGGTTAAGTTTTTCTAAATTAATTTGATTTTGTTTTAAATGTGATACAGTATTTTATTTTAAAATATGTAATTTGTATTGAAGCAATAATAATTATTGCTTGCTATTTCATGGATTCATATAGTTAGTTGTACATAAATGTACCCGGATTAAATTTAGTATTAAATTATAAATAATTTGTTTTTTGTAGTTAATATTATTTTAAATTATGTATTTGTAATATTTTTCTAGATGTAATAAAACTCCACTTTATAAAATAATTGTTAGGATGCCTACATTAATCATTGATCACATTAATTTTGTTAAACAAAATAAACAATTATGTTATCAGGTACTGATAATAAAGTGTACCAGTATATTTATTCTTATAATCAATTTACAAAACCTTTTATTTATTTATGCTAAAAAATATTTTTATAACTTATAGTTATTATGAATTATATAGAAATTCTGTTTAAATAATATTTCATTTGCTTTCATTTATTCACTATAATATTTGAATAAATAGTCTCATATTAATCATACAACTTACAACAACATTATATAAATATTTTGTTTCCATAATATTATGAATAACATAAAAATTAAATTTATATATTTTTTATATGTTAAGGCATACATAAAGTAAACAATTGTATCGATATATTCATACAACAAAAGAATACTTTTAAGTCTATGAATAATATAAACTAAAACCACTTTATTATATAAAAGTTGTTTCAAATGTTTTACAGACATATCGTACACAGAGGTTAAGTATACTAATAATGTGCGGCACTGAGACCTTGCACATAACACAGAATATTCGGTATTTTCCAAACAATATTCTGCTTCAATAGAGCGGCGATTATACACCACTTCATACTAATAGTGTTGAGTTGGATGTAGTAAATGGTTATGAGATATACACTGATTATCATTAGTATAAGTGATGCCATCAGACACAGCCATATGTAGGTGTGAAAGGGTCGGAGCACTAAATCCATGGACTGACCCCTAAGGGGCGGTGGGGTTATGAATGTGAGTGATGTCAGTATATGTGATTCGGTGAAGTCGACTACTTGTGCCCTCTCAGAGGTTATGGATACCCCGGCTAAACCAATATCAGCCAGCTTGTTTATGAATTATATTTAAAATGAAATTATTAATAAATTATAAAATAACAATTTTATATGTTTAACAAAATAGTTATAAAATAATTGCACACTAACTGTAATGAAAATCAAATTATTATATATTAACATTACAAAAGGTATAGTAATTAATAAAGGAATGTCATCACCACTCAAATATAATAATTATATTTATAAATAGTAATAATATTAAATGATTAATATCTCAAATAAATTTAATCTTTTAAAAATGACTTCAAATCAAAAACTGTAGATATAAACTAATTTAATAATTGTAATAAATAAAATTTTAATGATTAATAAATTTTGGTATACATCGAGGTCAATCAATACTGTATTAGTATAGCTGTACTTTTGATTTTAAAATATATCTAATTTAGTATTTAATGTAAATATTAATTGAATTGTAAATATATTTATTTAGACATACATTTTGCGACACAACCCCAATAAGTCCAGTCCAGGTGCCGTTCACATACCGGCCCCAATTGTACTGACAATCTATTAACTGAAACCTAAAGTTATAAAAAGCACTCAATTCTTGCAATAATTGCAATTCAAAGCCACCGCTCGGCTGTAAAAATGAGTTGAAGACAATAAATGGCGGATGCTGTGGGACAGGTATGGGGACAGGGATTACAATTTAATTTTAAATATTGAAAATTAATTTTTTTATATTAATTTAATTTAATATAAGTATTCCTTATATTGAACTAGTAGTATATTAAATAATATTCTGTTATTATTTAGTCTATGTATATAAATAAAACTCTTAAAATTAATATAAATATAGTTACCTGGTTGGTGGCCACTTTTAGTAGAGTTTGATTTAAATTTAGCCTGAACGGATTCATGATCTTAAATCTCTATATAAATATCATTTAACTCTGGATTTAGCCAAGCATATACTGGAATCTGCAAACTTGGCATATATCATTTTATTCTACACTATTTTATAAGTTAATTCTATAAGTTAATAACATATTCTACATGTTATTCCCTATTCATTTGCTTTTTAAAGCTTTTATGAAGCTTTATCATTTTAACATTGTTAGTCAGCATGAGTTTAGTTGTATTACTAAATATTTTTCCAGGTAAAACATTACTAAATGCATATTTTAATCAATGAATAGGAAATAACATGTATAATATGCGGACAAACCATTGTCCGTCTGGCCATTCGCCATATTTGAATAGCCTAATTAACTTATAAAATAGTGTAGAATAAAATGATATATGCCAAGTTTGTAGATTCCAGTATATGCTTGGCTAAATCCAGAGTAAGCGTTTTAAATACACCCTGATCATTCGTTGATTATGAACATTTAAATACTTAATAATTCTCAATTTGATGTCATTATTAGTATATTTTAGTT